ACACACACACACACACACAGACAGACAGACAGACACACACACAGATATAAGATGCTTTAAGTCTGTTGTTCTTGACTCAAATAGTACACACTTCGCTCTGTACACAACATAGTATACAGATCAAATATGATCATCTTCGTGCCAGGGACCCCATACTAAAATTTAAAAGGCAGTTATATCTTTTCATGTGTAAAGACCTCATTAATACTGTGAAAAAACACCAATACAAGTGTCTATTATGTTTCATCATTATTTTTTTACTCACTACAGTATTATACTGTTAAATGCAGTGTTATTAATTTACTACTACAGTTTTTGTTCATATTTTAAATGAGATTTTATTTTATATTTTCTGTTTTCACTTTCATTTTAGTTCAAGATTTAGGAGTTCTATTGTGTGTTTTTGTCTTTTTTATTGGTTTTTGTCTAGAGTTTTAGGTTTTAGTTTATTTAGTTTGTTATTTTAGTACTTCAATTTAAACCAAACAAAAAATACAATGTCAGCTTTTACTTTTTTTACTTTATTTCAGTTAATGATTATTTTTATTTCAAGTAATGAATTTTCTTCTTTTCAGTTTTAGTTAATTATAATAACCCTATTTAGATGATATTTATTTAAATCTAATTGTATTTATTTGTTTTAATCACTTTCTTTATTTAAATCAAATTAATATTTAAAATGTATTTAAAATGTTTTAACAAAACAACATTTTATTTTAACAAATCTTATTTATTATAATCAATTATTTCTATTTTTATTTTACTCAAATGTATTTATTTATTGTTTTTTTTAATCAAATTTTATTTATTTGTTTTAATCAATTTCATTATTTAAACCAAATTAATACTTTTTAATTCAAATGTAATTCTTGTCTATTTAAAACAAATTTTATTTATTTATATATTATTTTAACCAATTATTTATTTGTTTATTTTAAGCCAAATTTATTTATTGTTTATTTAAACCACAATTATTATTTTAATCAATTATTTATTTATCTTTTAAAATAAAATGTATGTATTTGTTTGTTTGCTATTTATATCCAATTGTATTCATCAAATTTAAAAAGTTTAATCTTATCTTTATTTAGACATTTTTTACACTGTTATTCTGTTTTCCACGAACCCCTTGCAGCCTCCTTGGAAAACTCCTGGATCACAATCCAAGACATGCATCTAAATGTGTGCATCTTTCATGGTATTTGCCAGAGGCTGAGCGCTAATACCTTCAGGTCTCTCCTCTCCAGCTGAAGCAGCTCTGGTCCTCTGATATCATGTCTGATGAAGATCTCCTTATACTCGGACAGACAGAGCATCTCCAGCCAGACGGCCACTTCATCCACACCCCACGTATTCACTGCTCACACAGCACACACGTGTATTACACTCATGCACGAGGTCAGAGGTCAGAGGTCAAAGGTCAGGTCATACCTGGCATGTTGAGGGCGGCGCACGTCTCCTTGTTTTTGTTGTTTTTGTCTTTCTTGAATTTGGGCACGAGGCGGAATTTAGCGCTACGACTGCGCTTGGAGAAATCAGACAGCTGACCCTGCGCGCACACACACATTAGACTGGAACACACTCACCAAAACATCCCAAAAACAGCTGGATGTCACGCACCTCGTCGTCAGCCGGGTCGATGAGCTGACTGAGCCAGCTGATGTCTGTGAGTCTGCGTAACTGCTGAGTGACTGAACTCAACGCACCGATCAGCTGATCTCTCTGAGGAGGATCCAGCTGCTGCAGAGACACAAACACAGAGACATGATCATGAAACACTCAACTCAATCAATTCAGTGCCTATTAATGTTTCTCAGTGTCACTGTTCAGATGTAAATTATCATCCAGCTCGCTGCTAAAGCACATAGATATAATTGTCACACGACACTTTAGGGTGGACCAATCACATTTGTCTTTGATGATATACAGTATATATATGAAGAGTTAATTAGCAAAAACCGATAAACGCCACTTTAAAAAAAAATGCAGTGCATTATTCTCCACATATAGTGCAATCTGAACCCTAAACACGTTTTGTCAAAAAAGCCGGTTTTGTTCACTTTCAAGGCATCTCGAATTCAGGTTTTACTGCAGAAGCCGACAAGCACCTTGTTGTTTCTGAACAGAAGCCGATAAGTCCATTTCAGCGAATCAGCGCGCTGTATTCAGGTCAGGTGACAAGGCTACTTTCACTCTGAAAAGACGAGCTAGCTGAGAGGAGTTTCGTCAAAGCTGACTAAAAGTGATCCAGGATCATTTCGACGAACTTGATGAACCTGTGATATCTTCTTCAGGGCGAAAAAGGAAAATAAAAGCTGAAAGGTTTTCACGGAAGCTTGTAAAAGCAGAGCGTGTGTTGCGTGTAATCACATCCATACAGTTTATGATCACAACAACAACAACGTTTGTCAGACATTATCATCTGAGGAGATTACAAAGATTAAACCAGCGTTTTTTTAAACTCTAAAACATGAAATGTGGAGTTACCTGCTTTTGCCATAAAACAAACTTTTAATATGTTTAAAAAAAATACTTTCAATGAACTTTAATTTTGTAAATTACCTGTGTTTGTTTAAGTTATTATTACTTAATCAAAACAACCCAACTGTAGTTTGATTGATATATTACTTGGAATACACAATAAAAAAAAACGTGATTTCTGAAAAAATAAATAAAAATAGAGTTATCGATTGCTACTCGCTAAATGAAACAAACAAATGTAAAATAAACTAAAGTACTGTATTGTTAGATGCAGTGTTATTTTAATATCATTACTATTATAGTTTTTGGTAATATTTACATTTTAGTAAAAGTTTTAGTAATTTAGTTTTTGTCATTTTTATAAGTTTTTAAAATATATATCTACATAGTTTTTAAGTTTTAGACATTTTTGTACTTTAACTTTTATAACTAGCTGAAATCAGTTTAATATATAAGTAATATAAGATATTTTAATGGTTTTAGTTTTAGTTAATAATAACCCAGGTTAGATGTGCTATTTAATTATGTATTTATTTATTTTAATAAATGTATTTAGTAAAATCGAATTAATATATATATATTTTTTCTAATCAAACTTTTGATTATTTATTTAAATACATTTATGTATTATTTTTTTAATTAACTGGAAGATGAAAAGCAACATCATGATTTAGTATTCAGTCCATATTGTGAAAAGTGTTGTTTTAAGATACTATTATATATTCTAAAGTATTCTAGTATATTTTTAGTATATTTTCAGTTTTCATTTTAATTTTAGTTTAAGTAAATTTGTTATGCGTTTTCATCATTTTTAATATTTTTTTTTAATATTAGTATTTATTTTTTCAGATTTAGATTATTTTAGTACTTCACCTAAAACATTTTTTATTTCAGTAATCTTTTTTTCATTTAATATTTACATTTAATTTATTTCAGCTTTATTTCAAATGATGACAAGTTTGAGCTAAGTAGATTTTCAGTTTTCATTTTAATTTTAGTTTAAGTAAATTTGTTATGTGTTTTCATCATTTTTAATATTTTTTTTAATATTAGTATTTATTTTTTCAGATTTAGATTATTTTAGTACTTCACCTAAAACATTTTTTATTTCAGTAATCTTTTTTTCATTTAATATTTACATTTAATTTATTTCAGCTTTATTTCAAATGATGACAAGTTTGAGCTTTTTCCTATTCATGCACATGCAAGTTCTACAGTAATTTACATCTATGAAAAAGGCAACTGGCTGTTTAAACTGAAAGGACTTCCATTCCAACAGCCAATTTCTCCTAATCATTTTTCTACAAGCGGTCCATCTCCTCTCCCTTACTGTATATCATCTCTGTGAGATTCACTCACCAGGCTCATCTTTCCCGCGAGCAGCAGTTGGGTCTCACTGTGCAGAGCTTTGACATTACTGACCATCTCCATCACCACATTACAGGTCAAACCCTACAAACACACACGCGACACGTCAAAGATGTCATGAACCAAACCAGAGCAGCTAAGCACCAGTTATGAAGTCGTAATCCACACACCGACTCACCCCGCTGCTTTTGGAGTTTGCGTACACCAGATCCATGGCCTTAGAGCTAGCGTTGACTGCATGAGCCAATTCCTGCTCGATGGTGTGATGAGACTGTGCTGCTTCCCTGATACTAAACACACATTCATGCTTGTTTGTATATTAGATTTATATATGCATATATATAGAATAGGCAGCATGTTTGTAATATAAAGTATATACACTAGTCTTCAAAAGTTTGGGGTTGTTAAGATTTGCTAATGTTTGTGAATCTCTTCTGCTCACCAAGGCTGCATTTATTTGATCAAAAGTACAGTAAAAATAGTGAAATATTTTTAGAATTTAAAATAGCTGTTTTCTAAGTGAATATCTGTTAAAATGTAATTTATTTCTGTGATGCGCAGCTGTATTTTCAGCATCATTACTCCAGTCTTCAGTGTCACATGATCTTCAGAAATCAGTATAATATGCTGATTTGCTGCTCGAGAAACATTTCTGATTATTATCAATGTTGAAAACAGTCGTGCTGCACAATATTTTTGTGGAAACTGAGATAGATTTAGTTTTTAAGGATTCACAGATGAATAGAAAGTTCAAAAGAACAGCATTTATTTGAAGTAGAAATCTTTTGTAACATTATTAATGTCTTTACTGTCACTTTTGATCAATTTAATGCATCCTCAATGAATAAAAGCACATTTCATTTAAATAACCGTACCTCACATGAGTTAAAATCTGTGTACCTGTGTATAAGTGCACCGGCTGCTTGTCCGAACAGGCTGATCTGAGTGGTTTCGTCTTCAGAAACGATCTCCGGCTGCGATGCATGCTGGGAAACCAGCCGAGGAATCTCGCCTCTCTGTTTATCCTCCCACGACTTCAGAGTGTTCTCGAACGCCTGGAAAAAAACCAGCCGTATGTGAGCTGCGTTTCACTTCTCCGAGAGCTTCACACCGAGTTCCCATAATGCTGTGCGTGTGGCACTGACCCGGTCTCTGGTGAGGGTTTGTGTGCGGTTCTTGTGCAGGATCCGGATGTATCCGGGCGGTTGGATCCAGGCCTCCCCATCCACCTGCACAGGGACGCCTTCATCTCCCAGAATAGTGATCTTCACTGTTCGACACTGATGAGACACACACACACACACACACACACACACACACACACACACAAACAGACACACACACACCCCACACAAAAACACACACACACCCCACACACAAACACACACACTCGGTTACACAGACTCACGGCCTCAAAACACATTTTGAGAAAACCTCCTTTAGGCGATGTCCTCACATGTGAAAACAGTATAAAAACGCAGAAAGCTTTCTGTTAGGGTTACAGTATTTATAACTAGTTCTAACAATTTAGATACACTACAAGTAAGATTTTTTTAACGTCTCTTCTGCTCACCAAGGTTGCTGTAAAAAATACAGTAAAACCAGTAATACTGTGAAATATTTAGGGCTGCCCCCTAATAGTTGACTAACCTTTAATCGACGAGAAGAGGCTTGGTCGACCAAAATTTTATTAGTCGCAGAAAAAAAAATCCACAGGAAGTGGTGAGGTCACGCAGTCCGTGACGAACAGATCGTTAACGGCTAAATTTTGTGGTAATACAGTACATCCAAATGCTCGCCTATCATCGACCTCAAATATGGCTTATCATCTGAAATATGTAAGTAGTAGCAACTTTACATGGCCGCTCAATCTAATGTTAACCTAGAAATATGTGCGCTGTTCAAGTGTCTGAACAGTAGCGCGCTCACAGCATGACAGATGGAGGCGCCGGTGCGGTCATTTTTGGTCATACAGATAAGAGTAATACATCTTTCGAATCTGTAAAGCCTCTATGTTTATTTGTGTGCACTCACTATAACAACAAAACATTGAGCTTTTGTAAAATAATGACAGCAAACAGGATGCGCTTTCTGTCGTCTCGGTCTCTGTGAACTTGAGCGCAAAACTCTGTATACTTGCCTTACAGACATGAAAAATATATCTATAGAGAGTGAAATGTCTACTTTCAAATGGAACAATTCAAATCTGAAAAAAACTAATATTCTCAGATTATGTAATCCGTATGAAACTTGCATGCAGGCGCATCACTACTGTGGAGATGACGAGTCAGTGTCGCCAACTTCATCTCTTAAACAGAAAACACTAGTTTATCAATAGATTATTAAAATGTTAATTCAGTTTAATCTTACTGTTTTTCCCTGACACATTCATCATCATTACTTCTGCCAGTGTGCTGTGGTAAGCTTTATGAGTGCGCTTAAGCAATTATTAGGCTATGCAGGCAATTAAAGGCTCATTAGCATGATTTAAATGGTTTATTAATGGTTTATTAAATGTGCGATTGGTTGACTAATGCTTAAAATGAACGACTACTAGTCGACCAGAAAAATCTTTAGTTGAGGGCAGCCCTAGAAATATTATTACAATTTAAAATAATTGTTTCCTATGTGATCTTTGATATATTATTTATCTCTGCAATAACTAACTTAATGAATCTAGAGTTTGTTTTTTTAAATAATAGATATTTTATATATACATTTACATAACCATTTAACAGTTTGGGGTCAGTACAATGTTTTTTATTCAGCAAGGATGCATTAAATGTGATAAAATGCATTTAATGTGCATTAAAAGTGAGATTAAAGACATTTCTAATGTTACAAAAGATTTCTATTTCAAATAAATGCTGTTCTTTTGAACTTTCTATTCATCTGTGAATCCTGAAAAATAAAATGCATCACGGTTTCAATAAAAATATTGGGCAGCACAACTGTTTTCAACATTGATAATAATCAGAAATGTTTCTCGAGCAGCAAATCAGCATATTAGAATGATTTCTGAAGATCATGTGACACTGAAGACTGGAGTAAAATTCAGCTTTGATCACAGGAATAAATTACATTTGAACAGATATTCTCATTGGAAACAATTATTTTAAATTGTAATAATATTTCACAATTTTACTGAACTTCTGATCAAATAAATGCAGCCTTGTGTGTGTGTGTGTATACCTGTGCGATACGGTGATGCTGTAGATTAATAACTCTAGAAACAGCCATCTGCATGCTGCCGAACACAGCCACCACCTCCAGGATCTTATCATCAAACGACGGCGCCATAAATGTCTGTAAACAAGCACACATTTCATTACAAACACACACACACTTCCAAATTTCACAGACACACATACACAGGAAGTCACTGCACAAACGTACATCATCCTCTTTAGTTCCGCCCCAGAAGTTGGTTCCTCCTGCGTAACTGGGAATATTCAGCACGGCGATTCCCTGGAGACTGGGAAGAGGGATCGGCCTCCCATCACACTACAAACACACACTCAGGTTAGGTATGATTAACCTTACAAACATGTCCGTACACACACACACACACACACACACACACCCCCACTCACTCACACACTCACACACACACACACACACACACACACACACACACACACACACACACACACACACACACACACACTGAAGATTTAAACTCTATGTCAGTTTAAAGCTAGATTAAAGACACATCTCTTTAACCTGGCTTACACATAACACACTAACACATTTCTAATATTCAAATCCGTTAAAGGATTTTTAGGCTGCATTAATTAGGACAACCGGAACCGGGAACACTTCCCATAACACCCGATGTACTTGCTACATCATTAGAAGAATGGCATCTACGCTAATATAAGTCTGTTTCTCTCTTATTCCGAGGTCACCATAGCTACCAGATCCAGTCTGTATCCAGATCAAATGGTGGATCAGCACCTAGAGATGACCTCTACAGCCCTGAATTTCAGCGGAGATCAGTACAACTAGATGCGCCCCAGAGACAGATCCCTTGTATGTTCTGTGCAGAAGTTCTTTGGTTCCCAGGACTCCATACCACATCATGTTTTTAGTGCGACTCCTAAACAAACATACAAACACACACACACACACACTATCAGAAATGTTTCTTGAGCAGCAAATCAGCATAATAGAATGATTTCTGAAGATCATGTGACACTGAAGACTGGAGTAATGATGCTGAAAATACAGCTTTGATCACAGAAATAAATTACAGTTGACTATTCACATAGAAAACAGTTATTTTAAACTGTAATAATATTTCACAATTTTCCTATTTTTACTGTATTAAATGAATAAATGCAGCTTTGGTGAGCAGAAGAGACTCTTTCAAAAACGTTTGCAATTATATATTTGATGTTTATGTACCTGCATTTCTCTGGATGCTCGTCACGTTTATTGTTGAAGTCCAGAGAGATCTTGGCATCCAGACCGATCCCGAAATAATTATTCATCACACATTTCTCCGTGTACAGATCCCTGAAACACACAGAGAAGCACCTTCCCATCAGCCTTTGCTCTAAATTCGACCGGTCGACAGACAAACAGACAGAAGCGACGACTCACAGGTTCTCCGGATCACAGCTGAACGGATCAGCGTTGACCAGCAGCCTGGTGATCACCGAGCCACTAAAAGAGCCCGACACACCAGCTCTGAGACCTGCAAGCACAAACACACAACATGAGCCTCTGAACTACAGCAAAACCTCTGATGCTTCCACACAGACTCTTACTTGGGTAGAGGATCTTAGTGTTCAGCATGGGCATGTTCTGCTGAGCGGAGCTGCCTATGGACAGGCTTCCTTTACTGATGAGCTTCTCACATGGAGTCTTAGACGCTGAGATGGAGAGACAGAATGAGCAAACGAGCGCTGCTGTATGTCACTAATGAGTCGTTGTAACGAGTCGCCTCACCTCGTCTGCTGGCTCGCGCTCTGCTGCTGTATGACGACTGCAGAGACAACGTTTCTGAACCATCATCCTCCTCTTCTTCCTCCGCCGGTAGGGAAGGTAAACCCTCCTCCGTTTGAGCGTTCTGTTCATCCACCGCTGCAAGACGAGATCACATGATTTTGATAATAATCACTCTTCATTTTGATGATATTGATATTTAATCCCAAGATCGATCTTTTAGTTTGTTATGTTTTGTTGATGCATGAACAAACATTTTTAGTGCACCTGTCATCCAAAAATGATAATGAGCTTTGTGTTTATTACTTCTGACATTAATCAAAGTCTGAACACAAACAAACACACACACACACACAAACAAACATACACACACACACACACACACACACACACAGACATACACACGCGCACACACACACAAACACACACAAATGCGCACACACACGCACTCACACACACAAATGCGCACACACACACACTCACATAAACACACACACACGCACACAAACACACACAAATGCGCACACACATGCACTCACACATACACAAACGCACACATACACACACACACAAACACTCACGATCGCACACAAGCACACAAACGCACACACACACGCACGCTCATACACACACACACTCACACACACAACACACTCTCACACACACACACACACACACACACATATCTGGTTCACTATCCTTGTGGAGACATTCCATAGGCGTAATGGTTTTTATACTGTACAAACTGTATTTTCTATTGCTCTACACCAACCCTACACCTAACCCTACCCCTCACAGGAAACTTTCTGCATTTTTACAATCTCAAAAAAACTAATTCTGTATGATTTATAAGCTTCTCTACCCATGGGGACCTCAATTTAGGTTCCCACGGTGATACAAGTCCCCATGAGTTGGTGTGTATTCAGGTTTAAGTCCCCACCAGTGTAGAAAAACCACACACAGACTCTTTTTTCCAAGGTAAACAATTCACAGTTAAGAATAAATACTTCATTTTTACGAACTTTTATTTTACAGTTTCAACAAATTTTAGTCTCTGGATTGTACAAATATAGCAATTCCAACCTTAATTATTTAAATGATTTAATATATATTTATTACATAATATTTACATAATTTATATATTAATATAATTTTTTCTGTCATTTACAGCAGAAATAACGCTACCTTTCTCCGTGTGCTCGATGATTTGTCTGATGGCTTTCTTCAGGCTGTTGGCGCGAAGCATCAGCTGCTCTCGGGGTTTGAAGATAGCGGCGGGCGGTCGAGGTGAGCAAGGGGGCGGGGCAGTGGGCGGGGCCATGGGCGGAGCCAGAACCACACCCTCCCCATCCACCTGCTCCTCAGCGATGGTGGGTGGAGGCGCAGACATCACACTGCTGGCCTGGGCTTCATCGTTAAGCGTTTTCAATAACGAGTCCAACTTTTCTTTTAGCACACCACACTGCACACGAAAACATCCCGAGTCATTCATCAGCCAATCACAGAACACTCCAGAACAGCCAATCACAAAACAGCTAGTCATCCGATAGCCAATCACAGCTGACCTTTTTAGCCATGGCCTCTGATTCTTCTAGGTTTTCGGTGTTTTTCTCGTAAGCACGTCCGACTTTTGCAACAAAGTCTTTAACCGTCTCACACAGGACTCTGAAAAACACGCTTTTAGATAAACCACCAGCTAGAATACGCATGAACAGAAATGGTCGTGTACAGTACGTACTTGGCGGATGAAATGACCACAGAGTGCTGATCGGACGTTAGGATTTTGGAGAGATGAGCAGCGACTGAGTCCTCATAGGTCAGAATGTGCTGCACCTGAAACACAGAACAGCCAATCAGGGAAGAGGAAACACAGAACAGCCAATCAGGGCAGAGGAAACACAGAACAGCCAATCAGAGCAGAGGAAACACAGAACAGCCAATCAGAGCAGAGGAAACACAGAACAACCAATCAGAGCAGAGGAAACACAGAACACCCAATCAGAGCAGAGGAAACACAGAACAGCCAATCAGAAACACAGAACAGCCAATCAGAAACACAGAACAGCCAATCAGAGCAGAGGAGACACAGAACAGCAGCGGTTACTTTAAGAGAAAAGATTTTGATGTACTATCTGACAATGATTATTTAATTGTAAATAAATAAAGGGTGGGAAACACACACACACACACACACACACACACACACAGACACACACAGACAGACACACACACACACACACACACACACACACACGTCAACACTCTTCTTGACATAAACCTGTAACTCAAACAGCAAAGCTTGGATAAAGATGGGTTTGTTTTCCAGGGAATGCATGAACTGAGAAAACGTAAACCTTGAATGCAATTTAAGCCGCTTCAGATAAAAGCATTTGCTAAATGCATAAATGTTAACATAAAACATATATAAACAAACAGAACTGATCTTCAGCCAGGCACAAAAATCCACCACCAGGAGGCAGTATAAGCAAAGAAACTTTGTCTGAAACTCTATTGTGTCCTACACTTTATGCTATATTTAGGGTCCTAAGAAATTCATTTTAATTCCCCCCCCCCCAATTCTGTTTTTCCAATTTAAATTCAAAATTCAATGTTTTTACTTTATTAATTTATTTATTAATATAATTGTATTATTATTAATTATTTAATGTTAATTTGATTATTTTTTATTTATATTTTTCTGGATAATAGTTTTAATTAAAGTTTAATAATCAAAAAGCATGTCTAAATAATTGAATTCACACAAATTTAACAATTTAATAATTTACAATTTCCACAATAATAAGAGTCCTATGAAATATTTCTTTATTTTACAAATTCTGTGTTGTCTGTTTAAATTTTTCTGGATTTATTAGTTAATACAAATGTATTATCAAAAAAGGTAGTAATCAAATGAAAGCATAAAACATTAATGAATCTTTCAAAATGTAATCAAATGATAATTTAACAATTCCTTTTATTTTTTGGCAAAAAAAAAGGTGCTGCACAATAGAGGCTTCTTGTTCAAATTAAATATAGAAGAAATGGTGTGATATTCCTTAAATTGTATTAATTGTAATATTTGAGAAGTACATTCTACAATACAATAGTAAAATATATTTCTGTCACAATTTCATTCAGTTAAAATGAACTTTTATTTTGACGGGTTGCAGTGAATGCCTTTAAGTAATGATGAAAAACCAATGTATTGTAGTTAGAAGAATGCAAGCTGAGATTCTGCTGTTTTCACAGTATGATTATGTATCCGTTTGTGAATGAATTTGTACCTGTTTGTGTAAAGTCAGTGCGTCTATCTCTGATAAAACCCATCCAACGCTGCCGTCGCCTCCACACACCAGAATACGAAACGTGTCGAACTTCTGAAACAGACGCAAGCTGCGGCAGACACACAAACACAGGTACAGATGCCAATGAGCAAATGTGAAGCGCAGAGATTCTGTGAACAGGTACAGGTGTGTGTTTTACCCCAGATGTGGCCCTCCGTTCATCAGATCGAACACTTGTGCGGGATTCAACAGCTGCTTAAAGCGCCGCAGGAACTTCACGCCCTGATTATCTCCACTTTTACTGTTCACAAACACCAACAACGGGCTCGTGCAGGTCGGAGGACACGTCGCCTTCCAGAACCCTACACACACTTCCTCTTCGTCCGGCTCCACGGGCGCTTGAGTCTCCTCATCGTCATCTGAACACACACACAGAGACATACACAGACACACAGACACACACACACACAGACATACACCCACACACACACACACACACACACACACACACACACACACACACAGACAGACAGACAGACAGACAGACAGACAGACAGACACACACACACATACACAGACAGACAGACAGACAGACAGACAGACAGACACACACACACACAGACAGACAGACACA